GCAAGACACATGAAAGTCCGCATGGAGTTTGCTAAAAAACACCTGAAGGACTCCAAGATGGTGAGAAATAAGATTCTCTGGTCTGATGAGACCAAGATAGAACTTTTTGGCCTTAATTCTAAGCGGTATGTGTGGAGAAAACCAGGCACTGCTCATCACCTGTCCAATACAGTCCCAACAGTGAAGCATGGTGGTGGCAGTATCATGCTATGGGGGTGTTTTTCAGCTGCAGGGACAGGACGACTGGTTGCAATCGAGGGAAGGGTGAATGGGGCCAGGTACAGGGATATCCTGGACGAAAACCTTCTCCAGAGTGCTCGGGACCTCAGACTGGGCCGAAGGTTCACCTTCCAACGAGACAATGACCCTAAGCACACAGCTAAAATAACGAAGGAGTGGTTTCACAACAACTCCGTGACTGTTCTTGAATGGCCCCGCCAGAGCCCTGACTTAAACCCAATTGAGCATCTCTGGAGAGACCTGAAAATGGCTGTCCACCAACGTTTACCATCCAACCTGACAGCACTGGAGAGGATCTGCAAGGAGGAATGGCAGAGGATCCCCAAATGCAGTGTGAAAAACTTGTTGCATCATTCCCAAAAAGACTCATGGCTGTATTAGCTCAAAAGGGTGCTTCTACTAAATACTGAGCAAAGGGTCTGAATACTTATGACCATGTGATATTTCAGTTTTTCTTTTTTAATAAATCCGCAAAAATGTCAAAAATTCTGTGTTTTTCTGTCAATATGGGGTGCTGTGTGTACATTAATGAGGAAAAAAATGAACTTAAATGATTTTAGCATATGGCTGCAATATAACAAAGAGTGAAAAATTTAAGGGGGTCTGAATACTTTCCGTACCCACTGTATATATACAGTATATATATACATACATATACACACACAGACACCCACAAACCCTGTACAGAATGCCTATATGTTGGGAAGGCTCAATATCAGCCTAGAGAACTACCGAGTCTGCAAATGCATTACTGCAAAAAGCATAAATGAACAGGCTATGAGACAATATAAAAATGTCTAAAATTAACACTACCAACATGCACATGAACTATGAATCTTTAAATTGCTTGCTTTGTTCACACAACAGTTAAAAACCCAAATAGGTTTTCATCACTGTCATGTAAAACAAAGAAAATGATCACATCCTCTTACCAGAGAAGCCATTAGCTCTTAGGACAGATACTGAGCTGTTTGTTTTGCAAATCCTCGTACAATTTGAACATTTGTTGCTTGGTCAGTGTGAACCTGAACTGTCAAAACCCCAGACCTAACGTTACAGTATACTACACCAACCAGACTGCATTCAAAACCAGATCAGTTTAACAGATGAGATCAACAAGTATCAGCTAACGTGCTATTCACACGGAAAACCTCTTTCCTGGGCACGTAGCACTGCTACACCACATTATCTACTACACCTTCTTACATTAATGTAAAGCATGTGCTAACGTTAACGAGATGCTCAACCAAACAATAACTGCAGCAAGCTACCGTTAGCATGTTAGCTTATATCTGCCTATTAGCTGTCTCATTTCACGCCAAACACAGTGACAGCTATTACACTTATGTAGATAAAATAGACCGAATACACTGGTATAATTAATGTAAGTGAAGTGATGCCAACTGTTGCTGTCAGCGTCTGTGTTTGAAGTCAGTTTAGCCTGCTTATGCTAGCTTGCTAGCTGCAAAATGAATGGGGGGCTGGGCTAGCGTCTAGCATCCCATCAACCGTTATTAGACAGAAATAACTCACCTGGTTATAATGCGCCCTGAACGGTTTCAGATAGTCTGACTCTGTGCACGGAACGACTTCAATGTTATTGATCTCTTCCATAATAAACTTGGATCTAGGTTGGGGGCTCACCAACGGCTGTCTGTCACCGCACACTGACAGCGAATGAACGTCTACGGAAGCCGGGAGAGGACGATACTTACTATTAATTCAAGTATTTTCTGAAACAATAGTGAATACATATTAGCTTTAAGGTGGAATTTTATTTTCCTACTATATAAAATTATATTTATTTTAATTAATTATTATTTGTTGCAATAAAGTTGTCACAAATTAATATTGAACACTATTAAAAAGAAACAAAATCCTAACATGTTTGTTTTTGTTTTTACATTTAAAAAAATTCTAGATTTATATAAGATTGGTATCCATCCATCCATCCATCATGAACTGCTTATCTGGGGTTGAGTTGCAAGTTTAATAGAGGGGCACAGACGACCCTCTCTCCAGCAACACTTTTCACTCCTCCTGGGGTTCCCAGGTTAGATGAGACAGCCTATACGTATAATCCCTCCAATGTGTACTGGGTTTACCCCAGGGCCTCCTACCAGTTGGATGTTCCTAAAAAAAACACCACGATAAAGACATATCCATCAAGGTCCAAGTTAACTTTTTGATTCAAACCCATGGGTCCTTTTTGTTGTGAGGCTACTACTGTTTTAAAGAATCTCATCATATACGTAAGTCGGATCAGTACTAATGAATTTGTAATACAGGTGGACTGCACTAGTAGCCGTTGTTCACATCCAGGTATGAGAGGTTGTGCAAACAGCACATTGCAGTAAATACACTATAATACTGTAAGTAGCTGGCCTCTTATACCAAACATTTTAGTTCTTGCTGGGTGCTGTGTCCTGCAATCCATATATAAAAAAGAGTCAGGGTACAATCACAAAAATATTGAAAATGCATGTCTAACAACAAACACAGATGACAACCATGAAATAAAGATGAAGACAATGGAAGGATGTTTCATCTCACCACATGCCACTGACCGGCTCAGAGTGTAGCACCAGTCACAGGCCAAATAAAGATGATGCAATTGTTACTAACTGGCCCAGAGGAGTACTGCATTATTTATCAAGGGTGATCTGTGTGAGAAGCTAAAAGTATTTTATTTTTATCAGCACTCTTCAGTCATTCAAATCAAACTATACTGATTTAAAAACCTAATTTTAAATGATTTACACATAATGAAAGCCTTTGTTGTAGATGAAAAATTTGCAGATCTGGTTTGTGTTTCTTAACTAAAGTAGAGCCCTGTGTTATTGTTTACACTACTGTGCTACTAATGTAAACTAAACTTCAGCAGCTGGACAAAATAAATAGCTCATAATCCACTTACTAGGTTGTTTTAAATGGAACTTTTTAACTGGTCTTCATTGTCATCATCAGCAGATTTAAGACATGAGATGCACCTGAAAGCTCTGGGAAAACCTATTTACTAAGATTCTTTTTAACTGTTATTTTCATAATCAAGAATGAACTTTCCACCTCAAAACAACAGCAGATTTAGAAGAAATTAAAGGAATTGTTAAAGATTTTGGGAATCTTCATATTTCTTGATAAAAGTTTACTGGAAGTTGCTTCCAGTCTTTTTGCTGCGGTAAGCTGCCTATAGGTTCAATAAGCCTATTAACCAAAATATCAGTCTATTCTTTTAACAATGAACTCATTTGTAAAAACAGCCTTTCCAGTTAGTTTGGAATTAATAATCATGGTCTAATCCTGCCTTTTGAGGTTGACTTTGTTGCTTGCAGTCAGCACTTTAAGTGAAGCAGACAGCTTCATATTACAACATGAATAGAAGCCCAGCATCCTCCACATGCTGAGTAAGGAATAAGAGATGGGTGTGGGAGCTGTTTCTCACCAACCCAGCCTCGGAGGGTGAGGCTGCATGATGTCACCTCTCACATCAATAACAGCTTTATAATGGAAAACAATCTACAGAACTCCAATCTTGATAGGGCTGACTTCCTCCAACAAATGAGGCCCAGTCCACCACCCACTACACAAGGACAGGATGTAACACTTTTGCTAGCTGATTTACATCCAAATAAATACATGCCTAGACGAAACAATGTGTAGACTCAAAAGAGGAACCGGCGTCTCTCCTCTGGGCACCTCCAATTTGTGTCGCCTGATCTGGCCAAGCTGTAGGGCACGATAAGACGGGAGGGACTGCTGAGTTTGTACTCTACAGGAGTCACCTAGATTTACTAAGAACATTTGAAGTGATCAGTAGCCATGTAATCTGAAGTGGAAAAGCCAAAGTGATTCCAAGGTTCAAATATTTACAGGATAAATCCAGTTTTAGTCTATATTCCTGTCACTAACATGAGTCTAACATGAGTACAGCAGTTTCCTTACATCCTCAAGCCCATTTTCTTCTGCCTAATATGTATATCTTTAATACGTGGCCACTGACCAAGTTTCATCTTTTTTAAAATAAATGTCACTCAAAGTGGAGAAAATAGTTTCCCTTGGGGGGCAATATTTTTAGTGGTGGGTTTAAAACATTTGGTGCTCTAGTGAGTATTTACAGCTGTAAATGGCTTATGCAGGACTGATGAAAAATAAACCACAATATGGTGTATTGATGTGTTTTAATAGTTCTATTCATCAGTCAAAACTCATATCCTATTTCCAAACAGAAATGCCCAGTCCCTCCCAAATTCAGAAACAAGAGGGGTTAACTAAAACACAGAGGCTTTCTTAGAAATAAAGCAGAAAAAAAAACAGGAAAAAGAGAAGGAACAGGACCACAGTCCTAAAAGAGAAACACACATGAGATCGATATCGTTGCTGTTCCACCTTTTTCCATGATTGTCATGTATAGGAAAATACTTAAAAGGTTAACAAAATATCCACAGGAGGAAACAAACGAAGAAAAACATACTTCCTCGTGGAAAGTGGAAGAACAAGATGTACAGGGTGGAAAGAAAAGTGTAATACAGTTTTACAACTGCTGTGAACATCACTGAACATTACAAGTTCCTGTTAATACTTGTCTGCACTGACGCCTTCAAATGATGTAAAAGGTGTATCCAAATACCTGGGGGAAGAAGTGCTCACATTCTTTACTTAAGTAAAACTATGAATACAAGCTTTAAAATACTATTACAATACTGTTACAGTAAGGTTACTACGTTTAAATTACTAAAAGTATTAGATTAATAATGATACATGAGTATGTAAGCAGCATTTTACTATTGCAACTGCACAATTAAGTTGAAACTATTTTATACAGTTGGTAGATTGCCCCAGTGGTTTCCAAGCTAGGGGCAGGTTTAAGTGTAATATTTCCCTCTGTAATGTAGTGGAATTTAGGCTTTAGAAGCATAAAGTTTATGGTACTGTAGTCTAAGTTAACTCAAATCTGTACTCAAGTATAGCACCTGATTAAACGTACCTCTGCAAGTACCTCATACTTTATGACACTGACCAGGCACTAAAATTAAAAAACATTTACAGTATGTCACATACTGCTGCAAGAAGACTGAATCAATACTGCTGGAAGATAAGTGCTGTCTTCTACATGAAAACAGCAACACATCCTTGTGCACTGTGTGCTTACACCTGAACTTCATTCAGTGGAAGATATTCACTAAAACGTTCTGTATTTTTGGCTACATGGTGAACTTACACTGGATTCTTTTCAGGGCCTCACTTTGAGCATCGCCCACCAAAAAAATGCCTTATCAAAATATTTTATCAGTTCCTCAGTCAGGTCCTGGGGCGGCAATAATGTATGAATCCTGTCCTTCTACAAACATGCGAGTGCAGGATCCTCAGGTCATGAACAATTACTGTGTGCAGGCGGCTGATGCAGGCCAGACTTCCTCGGGCTTAGCTCAACACCAAACCAGGAGCCTCCTGTAGCCACCAAAAACCTTCTCTTCTTGTCCGCCTGTGCAGTTTAGTTTTTTTTTTTATTCATTACTTACTGTCTCTTCATCCTAATGAATGATGTTGTATGAAATTATGACTTTTACAGTGCATATACCACACTTACAAGTTGTATAAATCTAATACATCAAATAAACAAGTTATCTATTAGTTGTACTTTAAAACTACTTGACTTTTATGCCTAAAATATCAGACTATTGTCAGGCTTGAAATGTCAAGAATGGTAAGCAAGCTATAACACTGGCTCATAAAATACTAAATTTGCCAGGTTGATTGAATACAGGTGTTCTGAGCTCCAAAGCCCTTTATGACCCACAGCATGTAGACAGTAGCTCAAAGACCCATTTGGTTTTGTAATTTAATGGGGAAAAAGTCCCCAGAGGTCTGTCCATAGCATAGTTTATCAGCCAGGGTCAAGCGGGGATTTGGGCCAAGACCTCAGAGAATGCAGTTAGCAGGCTCAGAGTGTGGATCAAGATGACTGGTAGCTGTCTGTCTACCAGTCTGGACGTTCAGCCGCCACTTGCCTTGTCCAGGAGATGCTTCTAAATCTCCCACCCCAGCCTGGATCTCAAAATAGCATCACATGTCAAAAGGGCACTTGATAACTCAGCACAGAAATCTACATGTTGTGTGGCTGAGATGATGGAGTCGTCGTGGTGAAGACAGTAAGAAAAGACAGTGACAAGACTGCGGTTATCAAGGTCCATGAAAATAGACAGTTGGTTTTCACACTGTGGGACTTGAGTCACATTTAGATGTTTGTAATGTGAGAATTATGAACTTTATAAGCTGATAATACTCTATATCAGTGTTGCACTGAATTGTTCTACTGCTTAAACAAAAACATCAGTTACGGTAGTGCTGGTTTATGTTATATTTGTATAAAAAATGGTTGTGCATTATGGCACCTGCCACCTCACAGCAAGAAGGTTCCAGGTCTGAGCCTGGGCTGACCTGAGGCCTTTCTGTGCGGAGTTTGCATGTTCTCCCTGTGCCTGTGTGGGTTCTCTCTGGGTGCTCCAGCTTCCTCCCACAGTCCCAAGACATGCAACTTTGGTTGAGTGGCAACTCTAAGTTACGCCCGTAGGAGTCAGTGTGAGTGTGTGTGGTTGTTTGTCTACGTGTCAGCCCTGTGATAGACTGGTGACCTGTCCAGGGTGGACCCTGCCTCTCGCCCAATGTCAGCTGGGGTTGGCTCCAGCCCGCTGCGACCCTATTCAGGAATAAGTGGTATAGCTAATGGATAGATGATTGTGCATCAGCTTCAACTGTACCTCTGTTCCAGGAAGGACCTTAAATAAAACAGTTACTGTTCTGTTCCTCTGGTGCTTGTGTGCCCCAGGATTCTGACTTTCTTCCCTTGAAGGTCACAATTTCTGTTTTGCCCTCATTTCTATACCAGTGAATAGGCACCTCACCCACAATGCTCTCTCATTATTTGCTATAATCAATATTTTAATAACAACATGACAATGTGAATGATGAATTATCACCTGAATCTGCTTTAGGGGGTGTTATAGAGAGCTTCAGCTCACTCTTTAAGGAGTTGTTTTCGAACGCTGCAGGCAGCTGTTATCAGAGAACGAGTTCTGATAAACATACTATACACGACCTGCATGGCACCAAACAGCAGACAGACCTAGTTAGCCACTATATACCATACAACGAAGTGGAGCATTTTGCAGCTGAAGAGCCAGAGTCCTCACAGCAGCTGGTAGACACCAAATACTATACTGTTCTGCTCCTGCAGAAACAAACAAAAAAAAAACAGTTATTGTACATTTAAGTTGAATGAATTGTCTTCTACAGTTTTTATAGTTAAATTTAAAGAACAGGTTTTGAATGTTGTGTAATTTCCTCTCATTACAGAACAGTACAGAATTTAAGGGAAATTAAATTGTTTTGTGTGTGTGTGTGTGTTTCCCTACTAATAAGATCCAGCATGGCCCCTCCGAGGCTGCTGGGACCACTGCAGCTTGATACTATGGGACAGCTGCTGTGGCTCTGCTGTCTCCCTGCTGAGAGCCTATTTTAACAAGCCAGACCTATTGTCTTTTTCCAAGAATGACCAGAGAATGTGGCAATGCCTTGGGTCATATTGACTTTACGTGGGTGTGTGTGTTGGTGGCTGGGTGTCATTTGCATCACTATGGGAGCACATGCCATCAGAGGTAATTACCTGGAAGGACCAATTAAGGCGCCCTCTTATGCCCTGTAAGAAGACCTCATCCACAGCAATGGGCTCTGAGTGGGACACGGGGAAGAGACTACAGACATGAGTGCAGGACAGTGACATCTGAAGTCAACTGTGTGGAGTCAGGGCATGTCTCTGTTTCAGACATGACAGTACAAACACAGTATATGTAGGGGGGCATCGCCACAGCACCGATTAAGAAAAGGCTGAGACTAGAAAGACGTAAAGGCCCAAGAAAAGGCCAAAGAATGATTAAAAAAAAAAAAAACTATCTCCTCCATGGAAAACATACATTTAATTTACAGGTCTCTAAAAAAACAAGTACAAATCTTTGTCAAAAGTAAACATTAAAGAAACAGTGAACTGTATTTATGAGATTTCAGTATGAACAAAGTGAAACATATTTACAGATGGAGATATTCAACATTTTGTTGAAAGCATATCTCTGACACAGTGCCCTTCAACAGAAACAAAATCGTGTCCTCTACAGCCAAAACAAAGTACTGTAAGGTCAGTCCATGAGCACCATCTGGAGCTGATCCTGGAAACTGCACAGAAATCACTGCACTCTCTTAAGAAAGACGAGTGGAGTTAATCTTATAAACGAAAAAGTAAATTAAGGCAAATAATGATGTACAGTGGTTAACACAACCAAGCATAACTTACATGCTCTAAAACTGGCAAGGTCAAAAGTACCACATCAAAGAATGGCTATAAATTAGAATACTACACATGGGCTGTAGTTGGAACAAATCTTATTTGCTCTATTCTAGTGATACCATCCTTTTGTTTTTTTTATGTGGTATGTTATCCATGTTCTAACACCAAATTATTTATAACAAAACACAAAGACTTTCTGCATAATGCAAACTGTTAACAGGTGTGGATGTATTATGTGGACACAGTGACAAACCATCAAAAACCAAAATCTGACCTGAACATTTTTCAAATTGGCATAAAAAAACCAATTAATGAATATAGTCTTTCATGTTGAACATCAATATTTATCAAGGTTATTCACCAACAAGCTCATTCAAAGTTTGATATAGGACGTTTCCTTGTCTCAACAGAGTAATTTATCATGAATCTTTTTCACAATCTTGGTCAAGAGGTTCCTTCCTGGAGTGAACAATGCCACAATCTCTTCAATCTGTTGCATCCTGCAATTAGATATAAATACCAAATATCATTTTTTTGTTGTTTCTGGCCCATTAAAAATGTGTAATGCAGGCTTAAATGATCAACAATATAAATTTAGCACAACACAGTGGATTAAAAGGTAAGGCCGGTTATTCTCTATATTAGTATTTTCAACACTGCCCATACAGAGGCTAAAACCAACAATGATTGCCTCAACTCACAGTTAATGTTCATTAGTGTGTCAGTTCTGGATGAGCTTATTTGTCTGTGCGATAAACCTCAGTTGTTGAAAAAGGACTGAAGACACATCAGGGAAACACACTGCTAAACTGGGTGACGTTTCTTAGTTGGCAAACTCCAGACCCGAACTTGAATAGCTAGCAGAATGTAAACAAAGCTCATGCAAGATCTCGTGCATCCACAACTGACTCTGGCTTGTCCTAACTTCAGGAAATTAAGGCCGCTCAGAGCCTTTGGGGCAGCATAGGCGGGTCTGGTGTTTCATAATGCAAAATGTTACTCAGTGTAGTGGTGTGCTTTCCTGATGTGTTTTTAATCAATTCTGAACAACAATGGAGGTCCCGCAACAACAACCACCATCACCCCCAGGCACGAGTGAGCAGGCTGAAATCAGGAGAGCGACCCAGAGATGGAGACGCAAACAGGGCAATAGAGGAGGGCTCAATGCTAGGCTAAAAGCTCGCGCTACCCGACTGCCACTACCCAGCTTCTTCCTAGCTAACATACAGTCTCTGGAAAACAAATTGGATGAGCTAAGGGCTAGGATTACAACACAACGGGAAATAGGAGAATGCTGTGCTCCAATTCTCACAGAGACTTGGCTTTGTGACAAAGTCCCAAGTTTCCTAACTGTGCATATGACAAACACTTTGACCGTTGAGGTCTGTCGCACAGATAAACAAACTAATCCAGGACTGAGCTGACAGGCATTAACCATAAGAAGAGGCAAATCATTTTCAAGAGTAAAATAGTGACGGTCCTAAATTTGTAATTCGCACATGAATTTTTTACTTACGTGGTGCTTCCGATGATGTTTTTAAAGCTCTGAAGTTGAAGGACATAGAGTTGGTTGATCAAACTGACAGAGAAGACCACCTCAAACTTGGACAATTTCTTGAGGCTGCTGAAGACAATTTGCACTCTGGAAGAACAAAAGAGGATATTATATACTGATGTTTTGGTATGAATCCCGTTAAAATGCACAGTAGAAAGCTAGTTAAACAAAATGTGTCAGATTTTGCTGCCATTTAACTGACTAAATGGGCTAATGTTCACGTCCAGTTTTTCAGCTGGTCTAATAATCTTAATAATCTCACTAATCCAATCCTAGGCAGCTGCTTTAAAATGTGATGGTCAAGATTTAGGTAAGGAAACAGTGCTTAAAAAGGTATAATATGTTTGGTGAAAATCAGACGTGACCCCAACGCACCGACTGTAACTGCACCAGCATGCGAGAGGATATACAGTATTTGACATTGTCATTTAATTCTATACATTGTCTTCCACTGAGAAACCATGGCATTAGCTAGCTTTGTGGCTAACTAATGGGGCAACAGATAAACTGCAAGCATGTTTTATTTATTTATTTAGCCTTGAGCAGTTAATTAGAGCAGCAACAGCACCAATATGAAGACAGATTTTCTGTGGTTCTTTTATTGCAGAATATAGGCCAAATGGTCAGCTTTGGACTGGGAACCAGTACAGCATCATGGTGCTTTAAATCAAAATATATACTGTATGCAGATATTTTTAAATTCTCACCCTTAATAAAACCTAAATAAATTACAGCTGCCTTCAGTTAAGATTATATCTTGTGTAAAATCACTTTTAAAATGTGCTAAATATTGCAAGCAGACAAACTATCTTTTATGAGGAAAATGTCTTACTGAGCGTCCACACAGCTGATGTCGAGGATATCAAGTCTTAGACCTCCCCACATTTTCAGTAAACGCAACTCCTCTCCCAGCAGACGGCAGCAACTGACTACCAGGCCAACATCGTGGAGCAGCTGCATACAACAGGAGAGAAAATATCTCAGTGGAAAAGTTCAATATAACTGGACCCTGTAAATGTTATTTCCACCAAGGTCAAATTAAATAAACTAAGATAATGGCTACTGGTGTCCTCAGTGTAACGTGAGGTCTCTTATGAGTCTACTGATTGACACAACTGGCTATAAATAAGATGCAACGGCATTTTAAAAGCCTGTACAACAACAACAAAACCCAAAACCTGACCGTATTTGTACAGTATCTTCATGTGGACATACCTGTGGAATATGTCTTCTTGTCGGATACTTTTCCACCCAGGCAGATTCTCCCTCAGTGTACTGAGAGAGCAGCTTGTGAACAAGGCGGGCATGGCACTTTGACTTCTCTTCTAGTTGGAAAACAAAATGTACAGTAGTTGTTTTTGCAAACTACCAGTAAAAACAAGGTCTCTGCAGGTTTCATCAAGTTAAATTTAAGACTGTTCTTGGACCACTTTGAATGGAATTTAAGATCTCTTTCACACCCATACTGGGAAAAGTACAAGGATTATGAAGAAAAATCAGTATTTATGTTGTACGTATATATCAGAGAGAGAGAGAGAGAGAGAGAGAGAGCGAGGGGGAAGAGAGAGAGAGAGAGAGAGAGAGAGAGCGAGGGGGAAGAGAGAGAGAGAGAGAGAGAGAGAGAGCGGAGCGAGAGAGAGAGAGAGAGAGAAAGAGAGAGAGAGATTAGATAATTCTTAAATTCTTGGACTCTAATGTTGGTGTAGATCCAAACACTGTCTGATCTGATTGGAAGTCTAAGGACAACAGATGTTGTTTTGGTGTCGAGCCAATTGTTTCAAATTTGTGATATTGGGATTCATAAATAAAATCTGATTTGACTTGACACAGGAGGCAATACCCAAACACATATTAATCCATAAAAAAAGACATGACAACTAGTTTATGTATTTTTCTCACCATCGAGTTCAAGTTTTAAGGTGATGTGTGATATGTTCTGCTCAGGGCCATTATCAGCATCATTTCCTTCAAAAAAAAATTAAAAAAGGAAAACATTTATTTAATAAAAAAAATCAGTCTTTGCAAAACCCACAAGTCTACAAACACATTCAACCAGTATATCATCGCTGTCAGCCAGAAACCTCGTATTTCCCAAACCATTATTTTTCAGGAAATTAAAAAAAACCTGTGTATCTAAAATAATTCAACATCACATTGTCAAAGTTGGTATTGTGTCTTTATATATGGTCACATACGTGTGTGTATCATTATATTATTAACACTTTACCTAAATCAAGCTCATATGAGGTTTTGCCTACAGCTTCAGGATCCAATGGCAATACGAGATTTAGTCACAAGCCCTTCTTAAAGCTTTCTATTGGTTGAATGTTCGTAAACCCCAGACGTAAAGGTGATTGATAGCACTGATTTATGAAAAACAAAAACAAAAAAAAAAAAAACATTAAAATGACTAAATACTGACAAGGTGATGATATATTTAAAACACAGACTTGTGTAAATATGTCATCTGTAAATAGTTTGGGTGGTTTGTGTCCTGACCAAGGTGTGGTTACATTTTTTTTAGCTTATAGAAACACAGGTAAAAACAGTATTAATGCTGTCCACTAGGTAGAGGCCTTATGTCTACTGTTAATAAAATGCTTCCTTGCTTATACACTCTGTTGGCTGCAGAGGAAAACAGTATATAATAAAGAAAATCTTACCGTTGGAGTTTTCATAAACCACCTGTAGATGCATGGTCTCATAGAGGAAAGTGTACGTTGTGCAGTTATCCCTCTTCCCTCCAAACTTGTATTCATTCACCCTGAAGAAAGGTACAAAAAGGGATTTACTTTAATATCTTTGTATTAAAAAAAGTAAAATAAGGCTATAGGTGAAAGACTACAGACAGAAATAAGTTAAAGTCTAATATCTCTATCTCAATCAAGGTGAGAACAGACAGAAAACACAACTTAAATGGTAAAATAAAAGGAATATTCAAGATGTGTGAAGGCACAAGTATAAGCAGCTGTATATAAATAGGTCCTACTGAGGTCAGCACACTGGGTATAATATACAGTATGGATGTATGTGGGCAACACTGAAAAAGCACTTAAACCTACGTATGAAGCACATCAAGGTGGCTCTCCATGCTCCTTGTCTCAGCTTTCAGCCTGCAGAGTTTATCTGAATTTTTCTTCTTCTCTATTTTCAGTTCAGATATTTGTCTGTGGCGGGAACAAAAATGAGAATAAGAAACAATTCCTGTCAAACTTTCCACAAAAAGTTACTTACTCTTCAACTTACCTTTCGCTATCAGCCAAAGCTTCAGTGATGTTTTTCAATTCTGTTACAAAACAAAAATCCATATTTACTTTGTCAGTTGAAGCACATAAAAAAAGTAACTGGAATTACAAGTCAGTTACCTTCCTGACGTGATTTCAGACTTGGTTTGTCTTCAGTGCCTTTTTCTTCAACCGCAGCAAGCTCTAAAGGAAGACAACAAAAGGTTTTACAGCTGTTTCACCTTTTACTCCACCTTTCTGCTGCAGCAACATCTCCACCCTCTCCTCTGGTTTACTGTAGTGCAATCTGCAGAGATAAGGATGTACTGTAAACTGGGCAGCAATGAGTGATTCTCCCACACCTGTTTCTAATTCACAAATACAGTCATCCAGAGTTTTCCTCATCTCTTCTGCTTTCTCAATTGTTCCTCTCAACTTCTGTTGTACCTCCTAAAAAGAAGAAAACCAAATTACCCTCCACAATTAAAACACTATTTCAGTAATTCAGTATTTCTTGTTTAGACTTACCAGGTTAGGCTGCACAAGATTTGAGTACAAGGCTTCCTTCATTTCATGTGACCGAGTTTTGCTCATCTTTCTGAAGAGGTTATTTCTCTCTTTTAGTTTTGCACCAAAAGGTTTAAGCTGTGGATTGAAACAGTATTTTAGAAATAAGATGATAATATTCACATTGCTACATCTACACACAGCAAAGGGAATCACATAAATGTAAAATGATTCAACACTGGGAACCAGTTTACAGAGAGGAAGACTTAGATAAGGCATATGAGAAATTTTTAAACATATTTAAGACTGTATATGACAGGAACTGTCCTCGTATGCGGTATAAAAATAAAAAGAATTACAGTGAGAGACCGTGGATGAGCAAGGGATTACAGAATGCATGCAAAAAGAAGAATGTGTTATATAAACAGTTCATTAAGGACCGATCAAAGAAGGCGGAAGAAAAATATAAGACATATAAGAACAAATTAACTGAGATTTTGAGGAGATGTAAGAAACTATATTACTCTAAAATATTAGAGGATAATAAAAATAACATCAGAGGTACTTGGAATATATTAAATAAATTGATCAGAAACAGTTCTAGAAAGTGTAACTACCCACAATATTTTATGGACAATGATACACAGGTCAACAAAATGGAGGATGTAGTTGAAAAGTTTAATAGGTTCTTTGTGAAATTACAGTGAGAGACCGTGGATGAGCAAGGGATTACAGAATGCATGCAAAAAGAAGAATGTGTTATATAAACAGTTCATTAAGGACCGATCAAAGAAGGCGGAAGAAAAATATAAGACATATAAGAACAAATTAACTGAGATTTTGAGGAGATGTAAGAAACTATATTACTCTAAAATATTAGAGGATAATAAAAATAACATCAGAGGTACTTGGAATGTATTAAATAAATTGATCAGAAACAGTTCTAGAAGGTGTAACTACCCACAATATTTTATGGATAATGATACACAGGTTAATAAATTGGAGGATGTAGTTGAAAAGTTTAACAGGTTCTTTGTGAACGTTGGTCCTAGTTTAGCAGGAGGCATTTGTACAGATGATACATCCGTCATTATAAATAATAATACAATCGAAAGGAACATGAGTTCTATGTTTTTGAAGCCCATAGCTGAAAAGGAAATTATAGAGATAGTGAATAAATGTGGTAACAAAACATCTAGTGATAGTGATGGTATCACAATGACAACTGTCAAGTGGGTAATTGAGGGGATATGTAAACCATTAACCCATATTTTTAATATGTCGTTTCGACTTGGGCAGTTCCCCAATAATATGAAAATAGCAAAGGTTATTCCACTGTATAAATCTGGTGATAAACACAACCTCACAAACTATAGACCGATTTCTCTGTTGTCACAATTTTCAAAAATTCTGGAAAAACTCTTTAATAACAGATTAGACACATTTATTGATAAACATAATATCTTATCTGATTGTCAATATGGTTTTAGGTCACAAAGATCGACATCCTTGGCCATTACTGACCTGATGGAGGACATTACAAGTGCTATGGATGAGAAAAAATATACGATGGGGATTTTTATTGACCTAAAAAAAGCTTTTGATACAGTTAATCATGAACTATTAATGGATAAGTTGGAGAAATATGGGATCAGAGGATTGGTTGGGAAATGGATCAGAAGTTATTTGACACAGAGGCGTCAATTTGTGAGGTTGGGTGAATATCAATCAAGTGAGCTGAACATTGTGTGTGGAGTGCCTCAGGGTTCTGTGTTGGGACCTAAACTATTTATATTATACATCAATGATATATGTAAGGTTTCTGAAACTGTTAAAATGGTTTTGTTTGCTGATGATACTACCATTTGGGCATCAGATGAAAACTTACAGCAACTCTCTGTAAGGGTTTCAGAGGAATTTGGGAAGATAAAGAAATGGTGTGATAATAATTTACTATCTTTGAATTTAGAGAAAACTAAATATATGGTATTTGGGAACCGTAGACCACATAATGAACTTCAATTGAGAATTGGGGGTGCCAACATTGAACGAGTATATGAAATTAAATTTCTGGGGGTAATGGTTGATGACAGATTATCCTGGAAATCTCATATTAGACATGTTCAGCATAAAATAGCTAAAAATATATCGATATTGGCAAGGGTTAGACATATGCTGGACGTTAAAGCATTGCGGATTTTGTATTGTTCATTGATTTTGCCATATTTGGAGTATGGTGTTGAAAACTGGGGAAATACATACAGGAGTTCACTTCAACCATTGTACATATTACAGAAGAGAGCGATAAGAGTTGTGCACAAGATGGGGTATAGGGATCATACAAATGTAGTTTTCATACAGTCTAAATTGTTAAAATTCTTTGATTTAGTGGGATATAAGACTGCTGTGTTTATGTATAAGGCCAGGAACAATTTATTGCCTGGTGGAATCCAAAAGCTATTTGGTGAAAGGGAAGGGGGGTATAACTTAAGGGGACATTTAAATTTAAAAGTTCATGCTATACGAACAACCAAAAAAAGATTTTGTATTTCTATAAGTGGGGTCAAACTATGGAATAACTTAACTGTGGACATGAAAAATAGTACCAGAATTAAGGAGTTTAAATATAAATATAAATGTATGTGTTATACAAGATATATGCACGAATAAGTAACAATCTGCTTTATCTATGTAGTGATATTGCTTGCAGCCAATGTTGCATAAATTTTGTATAATATGATGTCATGGGGTAGGACTGGATAAGTCTGACTTCTTCCTACTCCATTCAAACATGTATTAGGTGTAAGCAAACTGATTTTGAATTAGTATTGGTTGGATATGTGTAATCATGTGTGTTATTGTCATTTGTTCATTGTTCTGTTCTGTTCTGTCTGCATGTTTGAAAGAATAAATCAATCAATCAATCAATCAAAAACTTATTCGTTCAAATAAAATCTACGAATGGTTATTCATGGGGAATCAAAAAAATATTTTCACTGCCATTGTGTAACAAATAGTAAAACAAATTGCTGTTATATAAAAACTGAACTGTTCACTAATACCTCTTTCTCTGAAGAATTTCTTATCTCTTCCCACAAAGGTCGGTTAACCATCTTCAGAGGTCTGTCTAGGTCTCGCATTCGCACCTTCAACCTACGGACAAAAGCAGGTCTGTTTTTGAGCTTCAGGTGTGAGATCAATGTTTATTAAAAACAGTTTTATTTAGTAATTTCTGGCACAATGCAAAAAAATGTGATGTTTTGCACATTACAAAAGTTTTCTCAGGTTGGAAGGCCATTCAGATTATTCAGGCTTAAACTCACAAACTCCCTCACCCCCAAACACAAATTTAAACAGTTAAATGCGACAAATTATCGTAAGAATGATTTAATCTTACTCATAAATATATTTCCACAATCTGACCCATACATACCCCTCCACCTTTTTTGTGAGGTTCTGGACATCTGCCTCATATACCATTTGTTTAGGATGGCTGATGTGCTTGTCTTTAAATAAGTCCATCAGTGTTCGATCTGTGTTTGACAAAAGCTGCAAAACAAAGAAGTCACATCACCTGATTTAGCCATTACTGTTTAAACAGAAAATCTTTCTGGAAAATGAATATTGGAATGAACCTACTCTGCCAGATAGGACACTCTGTCGAGGATTGTGGATGACAAAGTCTATGTTGAAGAGTTTAAAAAACTCTGACACTGTAATGGTGCCATCATCAAGCTTCTGTAATCAAAACATTGAAGGCAGTTATATAACTGGCTTTAAAGGTTTAACTGGTTCACTGATACTTTTGTAAAATATGCCAGCAACACACCTTTTGTAAATCTGTTGCATAATCTTCAAGCTGGGACTCAAAAAGGCTATTTTTAAATGCTAAAAAAAGAGAACATTTTCACACAAACATTAACAAAAATCTTTCAAAATATGCATAATCGTGTCCGCAAATCCAAGCCGAATAAACGATGCAGACTTACTTGACTCAAATGTTGCTTCACACCTGATGCTGGAACAGTCAGTATGTGTAGTCATGGTTGGACCTGTAATGATGTTAGCATCACACTCCACAGCATGAGACTGTAAATCCTGACAAAACAAACAAACATTAAATTACCATCAATTATCCAACACTTCATACAGATTTTTCTAATTAAAGGTATAGCAGGAATATTTGACCTACCATCTCAGTAGTGTCAGTGGTCACAATGGATGCCTTCATCCTCTTCTCATCCTCCATAATACTTTTATCTTCTGGCAAAGGTCTCTTTTGTCCACGGGCAGCACTAGTGAAATCCTCTTCAAAACCATTTTCCTCTAAAGACTCATCCATGATGAACTCCTGGGAATGATCTTCAATTTTCTGAGGACTTGTGTCTGGTGTTTCCGACACATCTTCATAGCTACCTAGCTCTTCATCATGAATATCACTCACATCACTGTCAAAGTTACTCAGTTGACCTGGTTTTATTGTCCCTCTACGTTCACCCAGATAATTCACCTTCTGTTGATCATCAGGTTTGCTTCTTTGGGGGAGTTTTGGTTTAAAGCCTCCCATTGAGAGCCTTGACATAAGCTGATTAGTCTTGAAGTTGAAGGGAGTAGCTGTAGTTTGTTCTCTGTCTGTAAGACACTGAGCTTGTGTTTTATCTTCAGCATTCACCATACCTAGTTTGAGTTCAGGCTCCACTACAGACAAAGATTTTGTTTTGTCTCTTGAGTTTTGGTCCAAGTCATGGTCCAACTGAGGCAAGGGCACTGTGCAGCTGTCCATGACGATAGGATCCGGAGCTGTATTTATGACGTGGCTCAAACGCTTTATTTTTGACAGGAGACTGACTATACTCTTTCGTCTTGACTTTGGTGAATGTAAAATGTCATCATGTTGGTCAACCAGTCTGGGTGAACCCTCCATCTTTTGTGGACTGGTTTCATTTCTTAGTTCGGGTTCTTTCCTGGCCCGTGGTTCATCTGAGTCAGAAGAATGTGGTTGGTTTGTAGTTTCCACAGCACCGGGGTTGGATGATCCCAGTGCTTCACTGCTCTGTTGTGAAGTTGCCTCTGTTTTCTTCATATGGTTAGATTCAGGGTACAAGTGAGCTTTAGTCACACCCATATTGACATCATCCTCTAGACAGTCTGTCATAATTTGATTTTGTGGATTGTCCATGGTACATGGAATAACAGCTGGAGTTAGGGTTTCACCATCCACATCAGGCCCCTGTGTTTCAAGCTGTTCCATGTAGTCATTTGCCTCAACACCTTCTTGAGCAGATGGTTCAGCAAGAGCCACTGCTTTGGTGATAACAGGATTTGTCCCAAGGCCACTTGTTTTAGAGAGGGAGTTTTTCAATCCGGAATTCAAACCATGTACTGAAGAAAATCTAGTTCTATGTAGACCACTTTCTGTTCTTCTCACAGTTAAAGGCAAATCCATGTTTCTGTTGGTGGTTGCAGTGTTCAAATACTGGCATGGAGGAACTGAATCGGATACCATATGGCTTGGAATATTTACAGCGAGGCACTGGGTCATATCCATAGCTGCATCATTTGCAGTGAACCTTACTGTTTTCTCTCCACATGGAGGTAAGTCCACATTTTTGTGTGACTGATGTTCAAAAGCAGTAGCAATATTGACAGTGTGACTTTGTGTCACATCCATAGTTGCATCATTAGCAGTGAACAGCACAGTTTTGTCTTTGCAGGCAGAAAATAAGTCTAGATTTCGCTGTGATTGCTGTTCACAAGCAGTAGCAATGTTGACAGTGTGACTTCGCGTTATATCCATGGTTGCATCATTTGTAGAGAACTTCAACGTTTTCTCTCCGCACGTAGGTAAGTCTAGATTATGCTGTGACTGTGGATCAAAAGCAGTAGCAATGTTGACGGTGTGACTTTGCGTTATATCCATGGTTGGATCATTTGTAGAGAACTTCACCATTTTCTCTCCGCATGTAGGTACGTCTAGATTTTGCTGTGACTGTGGATCAAAAGCAGTGGCAATGTTGACAGTGTGACTTTGCGTTATATCCATGGTTGCATCATTTGTAGAGAACTTCACCATTTTCTCTCCACACGTAGGTACGTCTAGATTTTGCTGTGACTGTGGGTCAAAAGCAGTAGCAATGTTGACAGTGTGACTTCGCGTTATATCCATGGTTGCATCATTTGTAGAGAACTTCAACGTTTTCTCTCTGCATGTAGGTACGTCTAGATTTTGCTGCGACTGTGGATCAAAAGCAGTGGCAATGTTGACAGTGTGACTTTGCGTTATATCCATGGTTGCATCATTTGTAGAGAACTTCAACGTTTTCTCTCTGCATGTAGGTACGTCTAGATTTTGCTGCGACTGTGGATCAAAAGCAGTGGCAATGTTGACAGTGTGACTTTGCGTTATATCCATGGTTGCATCATTTGTAGAGAACTTCAACGTTTTCTCTCTGCATGTAGGTACGTCTAGATTTTGCTGCGACTGTGGATCAAAAGCAGTGGCAATGTTGACAGTGTGACTTTGCGTTATATCCATGGTTGCATCATTTGTAGAGAACTTCAACGTTTTCTCTCTGCACGTAGGTAAGTCTAGATTTTGCTGTGACTGTGGATCAAAAGCAGTGGCAATGTTGACAGTGTGACTTTGCGTTATATCCATGGTTGCATCATTTGTAGAGAACTTCAACGTTTTCTCTCTGCACGTAGGTAAGTCTAGATTTTGCTGTGACTGTGGATCAAAAGCAGTGGCAATGTTGACAGTGTGACTTTGCGTTATATCCATGGTTGCATCATTTGTAGAGAACTTCAACGTTTTCTCTCTGCACGTAGGTAAGTCTAGATTTTGCTGTGACTGTGGATCAAAAGCAGTGGCAATGTTGACAGTGTGACTTTGCGTTATATCCATGGTTGCATCATTTGTAGAGAACTTCAACGTTTTTGGCATGACTGGGGCTTAAAACCAGCTGCAATGTTGACAGTATGACTTTGTGTCATATCCATAATTGCATAATTTGTAGAGAATCTCACTGTTCTCTCGCTGCATGTAGGTACATCTAGATTTTGCTGTAACTGCGGTTCACAAGCAGTGGCAATGCTGACAGTGTGACTTTGTGTTATATCCATAGCTTCATCATTTGCAAAGAACCTCACAGTTTTCTCTCCACATGTAGGCAATAAGTCCACATTTTGGCGTGACTGGGGTTTGAAAACAGCACCAGTGTTAACAGAGTGACTTTGGTTTGGTATTTCCTTACCTTCCCGGTTTGATGAGCCCAATGCTTCCCAGCTAAGCTGTTGAGAAGTCATCTCTGCTCTTTCCAAATTATTACTTTGTGGGTACTTGTCTTTCATGGGAAAATGACACTGAAGAGGATCATCTGTACCTGTCATTCCTAAAATCCGACCTGTCTGAGGTTCAGTCATATCTATTCTTACATCACCTTCAGGGTACTTTGCACTTCCATTAGAAGAGTCTCCAGTGTTAGAGGATGGCACAGTTGGAGGTGTCACTCTTGTGATCACAGAATCAACACTGGGGTCACTTAGGTTCGACAGACTTGTAAGGAAGTTACTGAATCCTGGATTCAAACTGTGTGCTGATGAAGATCTGTTTCTAGGCAGACCTTCCTGTTTCTTCACAGGAACAACTGAATCTGATACTAAATTACTGGCAATATTTACAGTGAGGCACTGGGTCATATCCATGTCTGTAGCATCTGCAGTGAACATCACTGTTGTCTCCCCACATGTGGATAAAAGGTCCACATTGTGGTGCGCTTGTAGTCCAAAATCAGCGGCAATGTTTGCAGTGTAACTTTGTGTCACATTCATACAAGCATCATCTGTTTTCTGTCTGTAGTCATTTGCGGTGTCAAACTTGGCCTGTGGGAGAGAGAGAAAAAATGCTAAGGGTACAGTCAGAGAAAACATACATCTTGATAAGACATTTTAAATCACCATTACTGATCTATTATTAAAACATGTATTATTTCAGAGCCACCATAGAGAAGTATACTGCCATTTTCTAAAGGCAGAAACAAATCAGTGATTTCTGCAAAATGTGCTTATTTCAAGACAGTTACACTCACCTGATGTCTTTGCATCTTTGTCTTTAAAGATGGTTTCAATGAGGTTTCTGTACCTAACATGGAGATTGGGGTATAATATTAAAATAAAATTAGCAAAAACCATCAGCCCCAGAATTCTCCATTTAAAAATTAATAAACTGAAATATGATACTGATGATGATGTTGTTGATATGGGCCCAAAGTAAATAAAAGTTATAAAATATAGGTTTTAAAATCCATATATTGCAGTTCACATTACCAAAATAACACAGAGAATTACTGGCTACACATGATATACATGTAATATGTACAGTGTATGGATATAATCAGTGTACCAGTGGTAAAACAGCAAATAAAAATTACACACACCTTAAAATGAACAGTTCAGTGGGATTGATGTAACAGATATTCTTGTGTTTCAATCAGTTTAATTAATACTTTATTACAAGTTAATTTTTCATTTAAAAAAAAGCTACAAAAATGTTCATGTATGCTGTGAGCTGCAGCTCTTAGAAAGAAATCAGCCAAAATCCGAATTGGCAAGTCTAAACCCAGAATCGGCCAAGAAATTTGCTGGTGCATCTCTATTTTTGTTCAGTGTTACATTTCTGGCCTGTGGCCTCATTTTGGTCATCAATTCATTTGAGTCATATAAAGTTAAATACTAGTAATTTCCATACCTTTATGATTAGATGACCTGAGTGGTTCACTGTTCTTCTGTCCTGAAATCATCTCTGCTTTCTTCAGACACTCATTGACCTGTGTGGGTAAAAGAAACTGAAAGGGATCAACTGAACCAGTGCATCCTCTGATGTGTCCTGTGTGAGCTTCAGTCATGTCCATGCTCTCATCGTTTTCTGAACACATTGCACTTGTGCTGAATGACTGTCCAAAGCTTCTGGTTGAATTTACCAGCTGATTTTCTTTATTCTTGTCAGCCTGTGCTGTTTTAAGCTGGCACAAGGAGCTGATCATGTTTGTGCTATCTTTAGAGGATCCTGAAGTAGTGGGTCCCATTTTGGAAATCATGGGATTACCACTACAGTCACATGGATTAGACAGACTTGCAAAGAAGTTTTTAAATTCTGGATCCAAGCCATCTGCTGATATGGGCTGAGGAGATAATATCCCACTGGCAATGGTTACAGTGTGACTCCGAGTCTGGTCCATAAACTCATTATCTGCTGTGAACATGACTGTTCTCTCACTGCATTCATCAAAGTTGTCCTGGAGAAGAAAAGGCACTTTGTTACTATCACTAACATTTACTTTCACAGCTAATCTTTAATGAACATTAAAAAAACAGCATTTTAAAAGCTACACTGATGCATGTTAACAGCCACTCATACATATTAAAAATGAACTTATTCAAAACCTAGCACATGATTTTACATACATTTCTTACTTTTCATACGATTATTAGTTTCAGTTAATGTCAGTCAGGCATTAAGGATTACTTTCAGACAGCAAAAGAAAGTATATCTTACCTTGTGTCTTTGAGATGCATGTACAGGATTCTTCAGGTATGTTGTATCTAAAGTCAGAAGTGGAAATGTAACAAGACACAATGTAAACTGTATTCAGTTACAAGTGGAATGGATGCAGTAGAAAAAAATCAACGCCAGTTAAAGTGCATTTTCAGCCTACCAGTCATTTGTCGACAACCATCTTCAGTGATCAGCTTTGGGGCCCTTTAAACAAGAAAACAGAATAAAAACTTGAGTCACTTTTCCCCAATGAAAAACTGACTTAGTTGGTCAGAATTTAAATAAAAGACACCTAAAATGTCCTCAAACATATAAACCAAGTGAGAATGTAAATAAGCTTACCTATTCTCAGTAGTTGCTCCTGCAGTGGGAACAAACATCATTTAAAATTTAAATATTCTTATATGATGATTAAGAGAATTAAGCACAAGGCATTTGAAATTGTGAGCTCAGTTCCATTTGACAATCTGGACATAGAAAAGCTGGACACTCTGAAATTGTACCAGAATCTCAGAAAAAGCATGTAAGTCTGGCTTTCTGATACCACGTATCATTAATCACCTACTAATCAGTGATTAAATTAATAGAAACTCACCTTTGTGGTCAGATGACACCAGGGTTTTACTGCACTGTTGCTGTTTGGCCTTCAACATCTCTGCTGTCTGTGATACTCTTTTGCCATATTGGGAGTACATTTCTTGTGTGGGAAAGAGACACTGAAAAGGATCATCATCATCATAATCATCATCATCAGTGGATCCCAGAATGTGGCCTGTCTGAGCTTCAGTCACATCTTTGCTCACGCCATCATCAGAGCAGAGTGCACTTCCATAAGATGAGTCTCCAGTCTTCCTGGATCTATTTAGTGACTTCCTCATTATAAAAGTTGGAACCTGATTTTCTTTGTCCACATCAGGCCTCTTTGTTTTAACCGGGGCCAGGGAGCTGTTTGTTTCCTCAGAGCATGCAGGTGTCACCTTTGTGACCATAAGATTAATGCTGGGGTCACATGGTTTAGAGAGACTTGCAATAAAGTTTGCAAATTCAGGATCCAAACAAGGCAGTAATGAGGACACATTTTTCTTTTCAACACTTATGTCCATTTTTCTGCCAGTGGGCAATAATACTGACCCACTTGTCATGTTCACAGTATGACTTCGAGTCACATCCATGGATCTGTTATCTGCAGTGAACATCAGTTTCTCTCCATCAGTGGGTAAAACATCATCGTTTTGGTGGGGAATATCTGCAAGTAATTCTGCATCAGTGGCGATGTTTATAGTGTGACTGTGGGTCAGGTCCAGGAATACATCATCAGCAGAAAACATCACAGTTTTCTCCCCACAGTCTTCCCCAATATTGAAGTTGACCTGGTGAAGGCAAGTAGCTTTGTCAATGAATACTCAGTAAGTTTCAAATAAAATCTCAAATGAGCATTTCTAAAGGAATTATAACAATATAATATAGCTTGTTAAACAGCAGAGTAACTTTAAGCTCACCTTTTCCCTTTGTTGAGAAGCATATAGAGGAGCATTCAAAAGGGTTTCCATTCCTAAATTTGGATACTTGAATTTAGTAAGAACACTATTACACTGTAAAAGACAACATAAGGATTAGGTAATAACTGCTTGAGGTTTATTAAAAAAGTATAGTCATACCAAAGATCTGTTGACTCCCACCAGCGACTGCCATCTGGAAACTTAAAAAATATACACAATATATTAATGTTTCTGTTGTTAAGACAAACATATTTGAAGGTAAATTTAAGATCATATATAAGAAGTAAAACTGAACTGGCAGAGCTTGAAGGATCAAGTTACCTTACCTGTTTTGTGAGGTTGTCGCTGCTGTGGAATAGGACATATATTATAAAGCTGCTTAGATTTTTTACATTAAATACTTATTCGTTATACTACATTACATACATGCTGCTATTAACTCTTCTAAAGGACTTCGGGCAGGAGAGGCATTTTTCACATCCCTGTAAAAAAACAAAGTATCGATTGGGTTAAAATATGAGCCTTTGTGGAAAATTGGGAACAAAATAAATTTCATTTAACTAGTGTCTCACTCTGAAAACAGAAGAACATCATTGGCAGGAGCAAAACTGACTCTTCTTGAACTCCTTTTTTCCACAGGTTTGGGGTATTCCACCTTGATTAATGAGATATAAAATCATAAATTAAATTTTTCCCACTCCATTTGATTCTTTCATTCCTGTGGAGATGAGTAGTGATACCTCAAAATCCCTATTACATCTGTAAGGTAAAAATCTAAAATCAAGAAATCTATTTACCTTATTTTCCTGTTGCTCTACAACTGATTTCCTTGGTGCTTTTAAAATCTGAAAAGGATCAGTGGCAGAAAACATGATTTGTCTTTGATTTGTTTGTGAAGAAGTAAAAAGTATACATGTATAACCCTTTTGTCTATAAAATAATTTGTAGCACTGACTGAAGAGATGCGCCGCTTGGAGAATCCACTTCCGTCACTGTGATACAAAACAGTATTCAGCTGATATCCAAGGTGTTTATTAATGTGTACAATGTGAATACAGTCATATCATAAGGCAAATGTTAATACAAGGTGTTATTAATGGCCTTTAGGTAAAGTGTAGACTGGTGCATTGAGGTTCAGGCACAAACCATAATAAATTCCTTGTATGTTTAAAATACTTGGCAAATAAAGCTGATTCTGACTGATTTCTATTAATAACAGAATTTTCACTCACTCATTCCTTGCAGGTTCCTGGGGCTCCATCTTTAACTGTAAAATATGAAAAAAGGGCTTTATTCAAGTAAAATACAACAAGTTAATAAGATGTGGCCTTTTCAGAAACCTCCAATACTGTGAAAAATGTTTTAGGTATTTTAGATTCTTATCAATTATGTAATACCATGAAAAAGGTGTGTCATAGAGAACTTTCTTTACAAAAAAAAAAAAAAAAAAAAAATAGAATGTATGGCCCCCATTGAACATTGTTCTCAACATCGTGGAGTCAGTCTGGGATTACATGAAGAATCGGAAGGCAGCCTAAATCTACAGAACTGGCAAGTTCTTCAAATGCTTACAACCACCTACCCACCAAACACCTTGGAAAACTGTGCACAACTGTACTGTATGAGGATAACTGATAAATAAAAGTAAGAACTATTATTTTAGAAAGTGTCATCACCATACTTTTAGTGCATAAACCTTTTGCACAATATCTGATAGTGTATATGCAAAATGTTCTTGATTTTTCACTGGCATTCTGTACGAATGCCCATCTCTACAGCACTAAATGAATAACAAGAAATATAATTTATGTGGTGGAATAACAGATGTGCAGCACTTTAGCAAACAAGTGTCTCAGGTTAACAAAAACTGTTCTCCAGAAGCTGTGGTAAGTTTGGTTAGTGTAAAAAAACAAAAATAGTTTCCTCTACTGTAAGACAATGCACTATAAATGTGCCTGGCAGTCTGTGATATTAGCTAGGTAACTGTGCTTCAGTGACATAGGGGAAATAAGGGTCTGAATACACAGGCTATAAATTATATGATGTTGATGAGTGTTTTATCATTAAGATTGTTGTGTTAATCTATTCCGTGACACATTTGCACAAAAATTGATGTAATCGACACGGAGTTGAATTGATGGGTATATTAGTAAAAGGTTAGCTGGATATGAACTTTAAGACAAAACTACACACTCATTAACGAGTTAGCACTTTCTACAGATTTATTTATTCAGTCAGTTATTTATTTACAACTTTAAGGTATGAAACATACTCAACCAAAGTCAGAATATGACAGAATTAAAATGTGAATATGGGGTGGATTAAGCCAAAGTCCACATTCAAAGCTAAACGACTTTCCACACTGAATAAGTCAAGGCCGAAAGTTGTGCTCTCTATTCCCCTTGTGTTGATACGTACAAGAAAACAAAGCAAGACTTTCTAAAGATTTGGGTGAGCAGACACGCTACCCATTGTACTTTCAGAAACAACATTATTACTGATCTCGCTAGGAAAAATTAAACCTTGCATTATATAAAGCCTCCTTATTTGGTTAACGCTAGCTATCGGTCGTGTTAGCTTAACGTACACCACTCACATTATGATTTAGAACACAACAGGAGACGAAAAGAAACATACAACACCTTGGAATTGTTGTGCAATAACTCTTCACAACAGACGAGAACGGCCTTGTCACCTGTTAACTAACTTAAAACCGTTTTCATGTCATTTATTTTAGCTGGGTCGATGTGCGAACCTGCGAAATGAATCTAACGTCAACGAGCCTCTATGCTAACGTCTTGGGTTTTGAATTTAGCCGCCTCCGCGCGTGCGCAGTGCAGTCTAACCGTGGTACTTTGTTTACTTTCCCGATTCCTCTGCTTATTTCAGCGAAGTTCACTCAACAAAATATTGTTCATACTAATATATAACATTTAGCTCAAATTAAGAAAAAACAAACCTTGTGAATTCAGAAATTGCAAAAAGTAATTTTATTTTTTTCCCCCCAGGAAAAACGTAAATAGGCCGGAAATGGCTACAGAAGGCGGGATGTTTTTTTTCTTTAAAAAAAGAAAAATCGTGTTGATCAGTTTTGACTGTGTTCGATTGTAACATATAAGGTATCCATAAAGGTAGGTAATGCTGTGTTACTGAAACATCTCATACATAGTAATACGTTTGAGTTACGTCGAATGTTTAACTTGCACCTACGCTAATCTGACTTGAAGCTTGTTATATTACTTGTTTACGTTAATTCATTCACTCAGTATTTGAGAAAATCAAACCAAACCCCATTCAGAATCTGACATTTTTACGGTGCTTATAATAGAAAATCTATAGGGCTTGGCATTCATGACATAGTTATATAATTTTTAGAATAATTGTAAGCAGAACCCGATTTAAGTCAGATAACTTTGTAAAATGATAGCTGAGTCACTAAAGATGTCCAGGAAACACTAAACATATTTAACGTTCACTCATCAGATTATTTGTTAATACAGGTGCGTTTGTCATTGTGTCCATTATGGATAGAGCAATATCTTCAAAAATACCAAGAGGTGAGCAGATTTGGCTGTTTTTTGCACTTAAATTGATATGTATTTTAATTTTATAGAGTCAAACAAAGCTGCTATATGTTGTAACAATATTCTCTCTTCTCCAGTAGTGCACTTACCTGCAGAAACAAAGAAAACAAGTCATAAACCTGAATCCAAAGACACAGCAACTGTTTCTGCAACAGTAAATGCTGCCCAAAAATCTGATGGCATCCTGAGAACTCAAAAAGAAAATGTACCAAGGTAAGAAAAACATATTGTATGACTTACAAGAACAGCATAGGAGCCCACTCAGTATGTTGAAAAATGCACACACCTCCCTAAAACAAACGTATTTGTTCTCGGCGTGTAGTCCAAGGAGCAGTACAGTACACAGTATTTTAACCCACACAACACATTACACCACAAAACCAAAAACTGGCAAATCTGGTTGTAATTATATACTGTATAATGATTTGGTCAAATAAACCCTTATTCTGCCAACAGTAAGAATTTATTAGACCAGGTTAACTTATCAGACGGCTGTAATACACAACACTTTGCCACTTGTAGACAAAATCTATGGGGAAACTTCTCCTGTCAGGAAGAGACAAATCAAAGCTTTCAGCCTTTAAAACTTCTTGAGAAAGGTGAATGAGTCAACATAAAACTTATGATATAAATTGAGTGCTTCGTCCCATCAAGAGGATCTTGATGCCACCTGCATCAGAATCTCCCAACCTCCCATCTGATCTTCAAAACCTCTCCAGTCTCTCTGGTGTTCTATGGTGTAAATGATCATAAACAAATGCCTGATACCTGCCAGACTCTATGTTTGCTTCACAGCTACTGAAAAATCAAAATTTTCACTTTTGTCTTTCAGAAAAAATAAAGGTCCTAAAGTTCACAAAGGGTAAGACAGGCACTGTGTTGCATATTCCAAACATGGAATTTTGATTTCACAAGTTTATGATGCATGTTTCTATAGCGTGTCAACCAGGTATGGGCAACAGGCAGAGCTCAAAGAGCAAAATCAGTATTTGATGGCTGCCAATGAGGAGCTGCAGAAAAACCTCACAGAGACACAGGTGCAGAAAGCAACTCTGATGAAGTACTTCTGTGATTGTAACATAACTACCTGTATTTATACTCAAGTGTTTTTTTTAGAATATGTCACCTGCCTGTTAGTTGCAATCCTCTGGTATTTCTTTTTTCAGCTCTATGCTATACTGTGTTTCTTTGTTTGTTATATTGCAGGAAAGAGTAGCTGAGATGGAGCTGCAGTTCAGGGACCTTGAAAAAGAGAATGCAGAGGCACAGAAAAATCTGAGGAACTGTCATGTTCTCCTAGTTGCTGCGAAAATAGACCCAGGTGAAAACATCCCAAATTTCAAAATGTGTTTTGTCAGCTTAATTCCAGTTGTTGCTTGTTAGAAATGGCAACCAAAAGAATTTGAGAAGAAAGCCCTGGCTTCCTTCGCTGGCACCGCTCCCAGCCATTGGTTCCGCTACGTGGATGACACATGGGTTAAAATCAGGACCCAGGAGGTAGAAGCTTTCACCAAGCATATCAACTCGGTGGATGACAACATCAATTTCACTCGTGAGGATGCCAGGGATGACTCTGAGAAAATAATTCTTAAATCTTTTCTTAGTATTTAGATAAATGTACTTGTTTTCAGTCTGGCTGCACTAGTGTTAAGACATCTGTGGGTTCTTTGAGACTAGATATGTTTACTTGTTTTAAAAATCTTAGCAAGTGAAATTTTCCTGTTCTGTTGGCAGATAATTTTGCTTATTTTAAGTCAAATTTACCTCATTTTATTACTTTTTTTTCTTGTTTTTGAGAGCTGACTTTTTGCAGTGCAGACACAAACAGTGTGATGTGGTGTATGCAATTAAGTGCAGTCAGGAGTGCAATGACTTGTACATTGGTGAAACTAAGCAGCCGCTACACAAACGCATGGCTCAACACAGGAGGGCCAACTCCAGTGGACCAGAGTCAGCAGTCCACCTCCACCAGAAGGAGAAAGGACACTCTTTTGAGGACAGTGAAGTCCAGATCCTCTCCAGAGAACATCGCTGGTTTGAGAGAGGTGTTAAGGAAGCTATTTTCGTAAAAATAGAACACCCCTCTCTTAATAGGGGTGGTGGACTAAGACACAACTTGTCTTCCATCTACAACCCGGTTCTGAGATCTTTGCCCAAACATGCCCACCAGGACAATAGGCGTCGGTTGACAGGGGAGGATCCAAAGACAGGTAACGACCCTCATTGATACTGGGCTGGGCTGTAACGACTCAGTCGTTAATGGACATTGTTGGCCTTCTAAGGACTGAAACCACACCGAGGGGGATAAATATCTCCGACTTAACACCAGTCAGTCAGAACTGATGAAGCCTCTTGGATGAGAGGTGAAACGTCTTCGATCTAGAAATCCAAGTCCAGTTGATTTCCAAGGTTATTTTGGTTGCGGTTTACTATGACCTGGATGACTGAGAATCTGCACAGATATTTTGTTAGAAATGAACATTGTTTTTGTTTTTTTTATTCTTAGTTTTAGGAGGAGAGGTTGGAGAAGCTGCACAACAAAATGAAGATCAAAGGAAAGCAGCTATGGTACATATATTTTATTTGAGTTTACTTTTATGATGTATAGTTACAGTTTATTTAACTTTGTCAAACTTAAAATTTAATTTATTTAATTTATTTATTTATTTATTCCAAGCATGTAATAAAAGAGAGAAAAAGAAAAAAAAAGAAATCAACATGTAACACAAAACAACCAAACCAATTACCATATACAACCAAAAAAATAGAAATTTCTCTTGATGATGCTTAGT